TCGATTCTACCTTCTATCGCGGCAAACAAAATTGACAAGGCTCATTCATCCGAACTCTCCAATTTGTTTAGATACCAACTCGTTTTCGTTCATTTTTGTGATAATTGCATTACAATTATAAGCCGAATGTACTACATTATCTAACGTTTCAACTGAGATACTGGTTAACAATAATGCAATATCTTCTAGTGAAATCATATGTGTTCACTATAAATAGATCGCGGAGTTGATGCATTTATAAGCAGATTGAATACGTAAATATTATAAATGCTAGGTGTAATATACAGAACTATTCAGAATATAAAAAGCTGATTGATTGATTTATTTCGCATAACAATCGCAGTGTAACTACAGATCTTATTGATACACTCTTCTATTCTATTTCCAACTTGAATAAAATAATAGTAAAGAATAAAATAAAACATGATAGATGATTTTCTCTTGGAAAATACGAACCTCAGAAATGAACATTTTGTATGCATCTACCTAATACCTAAAGCAGGTTTGCAGATTATGCAGATGTTTCATTTACACGATGCCACGTGATAACGAACACGGCGTGGGTGTCATAAGACTATTGAAAAAATGTTGACAGTCGAGTGTATATCGGCTGATCATTTAACAAGGATCCTTCCTTCCGATAAGATACTAGTTAGACACGTTTCGGCGACATGTCGAAATCGCACGAAAGAAAAGTGAAAAGCTTGAACGATATTCCTAAAATATTCAAATCTTGCGAGCAATTCAGGCTGGAAATTCCTTTCAAAAATGTGGTCGAGCAATTTGGAAAATTGAACGAGACGAATCGGAACATCTATCTGTCGTATCAAATCATTCCGGCACCTAAAAATCTGAAGAATAGTGGTTCCTCCAATGTGTCGGATTTTCACAGAGTTCCTATCAACAGTGAGAAAGATAGCGATACTGAAAAAGAGTTGAAAGAATGCGACGAACAATTAGAAAACTGCACCGAGGTAATTTCTCTATTTCTCATATCTTTTCCCTTCGATATTGACTTTTCTTTTCGATTAGATCAATCCTCTCGGTGATGCTAATGTTTCACGTGAGTTTTCTGAAGAAAGAAATTTTACACGAATTTTGAGAAAAAGTTTGAAAAGAAACCAAAAACAAATTGTGTGGACTATTGATACTTTCCTCTCACTTTTCATAATCGCCCCAGTAAGCATCGCTTTTTGGCATTCAACGTGGACGTACATAAATGACTATACAAACATGTAAGTCAGATGTCTAAACGAAATAATTTAAAAAGTAATTAGAACTCTTCTAATTTTCATTGTTTAATATAACTATATAATATATATCAAATTTTAAAAAATTATCTAGTGTAGAACTGGAGATTAAAAAAAGTGATTATTAAGTAATTCAAGTAAATGCATCTTAAACAATTAATTTTTTAAGGTTCCATGGATTGATTGCTTTCATTTTTGGTATTCTGATACACACATGCTTCGCACTAGCGAAGGATTCACTTCACGTTCGCGCAACCAATGCAATGAGAAAGAAAAGTCTTTTGAGCAAAATCTTCTGCAAGATCGCACAAATATCGTACACGTACGTCTTTAGTCTTGCTTGCAACACACACTGGTGGGGCGGCTTTATCATTTACGACTATTTCTTCTCCGATATTTGGTAAGAAAGTTACTTCTTCTTTGAGAAGAAACTGGAAAACATAAACAGACATGAATTATTTTTTTCAAAACAAAAAATCTATTCAAAGTAAATCTGTAAATAAGATGTTAAACACTTCTTTCTTTGTCTATTTCATTCATTGTCCACCTGTTGAGAAAAGAATAAAGGAAAACCAGGGCCTGAATAGAATCATAAATTTTTATAAAAGTTTCATTTTATACACTGCATTTTATAAGTTTCCTTATCATTTATATATAATTGATTATATAATTACAAAATTACACTTATTTTATAACTAATTTAAAAGTGTATACTGAGAGGAACAGATATTGCAAGGTCGCATCTGCCAAGTAGTTAGAATTTATAATGCGGGTGACCGCAACACCTTCAGGGTAGCTAGGCTCCTCGAGACGCGTTTAGGGCTGTACGATGCCGACTAAGAATTAATTTTTGATTCTAGTACCTATCAAATCGTTTTATACGGGATGTATGCGGAATATATTTGGATTATATCGCAAATAACAGCGGTCGATTACTCGAAGGATCGAACGTGATAAAACATAGGACCCTTTATCAAAGTATACTCGGATAGTGGGATGCATATCCACAGACTGACTGACAGTTCTGGTTATAAATGTAAATGCAATCGTAAGTGCCGTAAAAACAGCAAGGAGCATCATTAAAAAAGTATCCATTTCACGACTGCCTGACGAATTTTACCTCGCTATGCCTGTTCCTCAAACTACAATATAACAGTTTCATTTACGCCTTGCCGAAAACTCGTAGATTCACACATTGTCTAATATGTGCGCATAGTCGATTAAGTGCAATGCACTGTTTAGTACGTGATAATAATAGCCCGTTAATCGTTTCTAATACCATTATCTTCTTTGTTAATCTTTGCATACATTTTAAAGTTCTCGAATATAGCCAGCACTTCTCACGTATGCAAATAAAAGTGCAGGGTCTAAAGAAGTTATCTTATCGTTTTAAACACCACTAATATTGCAAAATTAAAAATTAATAAACAGTAAATGGTAAAAATATATATCACATTTGATTGATTCATTACAGTAATGAATATTTGTTATCATCCTAATAAGACTAAATAAAAAATGATTGACTAATGATTTCTTCACATGAGAATTATATTGATATGTATGAAATTTCGAATGAGCAATGAAATAAATAAAAGTAGTAATATCTGTAGTATATGTATATGGAAGTAGTATATCATTTTTTTTTTTTGTTAATCTTTTGTTCACATAATTTTCTTTAGGATTATCGTAGCCGCAACCGTAACGATAATGACTATTCTAATAATCCTGCGGGCTATCCGAAACCTGTTAGCAGTCCCTTTTATAATCACCGTGGACAAGCTCGCCTACGCTTTTCGCTTTCCAACAAGGTACAGACTGGTAAGTTTATATATATAAATAATATGCCAATATGTATTTTTGCGTATACATATGTATATAAAATATATGGAAACTTTTATGCAATAATAAGCATTTAAGAGAGATTTTACCCACAATTGCATCGATTATAGTACGTATGGAAAACAAAACCATAATATAGTTACATAAATAACATACGTGATTGTATAAATTAAGATACGAGAGATCAGATTTAAATGATTCTCAACGATAATGAACGATTGTGACAGATCGATTAGATTGTATGTATAGCAATTAATCATTATAGCTGTCACAAGAAAGTACTTATGTTTTTATTACATAACTACTACCAAACGAATTATGCACACCATCAGCTTTATAGTAAACTTTGTGGTAGTTCTTGCCATTGCAAGACCTATTCTAATTCAGCAACGATTATTATCACTTTATCTGAACTTGAATGTACTCGTTATCTATTCATTGAAGCCTGTGAATCATAGAAATCGCGTATATTTCCGCCCAACGAAATCCGTTTCATGTGCCACGCGTGTAAACCAACTCGACGATTGCGACAGTACTATATTATTACGATGAAAGTAATTGCACATCGTCAGATAAATATCTTACCGTTATCCGAAGAATAAATATTTCATAAATGAACGGACATGAAAATAGCTTTGTCTTCGACAGTGGTTTCCCCGTTTGATTTCTTCACCCTTGGAAGCGCAACGATTTCGAAGAAATAAGGTTGAAGTTAATATTGCACATTTTATTGAAAAATAATATTAGTAAAAATGAAACTGATTCTAACTGTTAATATTAAAAGACAATTTCTTCGATTTTTTGCTAAAAAGTATCGATATGAAAAAATGTCTACTTTCAAATTATTAGTCGAAATTGAAAGATTTATTGTCTGATTATAATTAAATGATTTCTTAATTATGTCTTATAATTTTGTCAGTAAAAGTAGTCTACATATGAGAATTAGCAGTTCGGAATATTATGAAATTATTTCATTTTAATTTGATTCATGATAGTGGATAAAAGTATGATAGATGATTATCGACCGGAAGATTCAAACTTCAGAAACAAAATGATATTTTATACGCTCCAAGGAAAGATCCAGGGATGAAAACCTAACCGGACTAATGCCCTTGGCTGGAATTCGAGGACTCGCTCCTTTTTTCTCGCGGCTAAAAAAAGGATGTCGCGAAAAAGAAAAATGACGGGTCAAGGTGAGAGAATCGTCCGTAATCTAAGCTTGATTGGTGTACAAAAAGGTGCCGATTAGCGACGCGTTCGGCACGGACAAAAGACCGTTGAAACTGGCAGACAGGAAACGCCACTCAGAAAAATTAGGCTTCAAGGTGGCTGCACGGCCCGTGTACTCCTCTTATTCGACTACCTACTATCTCGTTTCTTATCAATCAACAACCGGGTACCGGATTTGTTAATTAGCGCCTGGTTGTCGCGTACACACGTCGATCACGATTTACGCGGTCGCCTTGCTGTCGATCTGATAAACCTCACCGGCTTCAATTAAAATCTTTCTCTCTCTCCTTGCTACCAGTCCGCGATATCGTCTGATAATAGTAACAGCCGCTAATTCATGTTTAAGCTATTCAATCGAAATACATGTGTAAACGAGATGAGACATTGTTTATAAACAGTAAACAGCAATCAGTAAGAATGATGAAGATACTGGAAATCCTCGAACTGCATAAAAAAACACGGTCAACCTACCGCCAATCTAAACTGATGATAGAGCGTGTATGCGTCGCATCTGCATAGGGAGAATTATTAAGCAGCCCGTGTACTTGACAAACGAACGCAAAACTGGGGCCAGACAATGAACAGACCAATGAACAATGCCGTGGAAGGATAAACTTCGTTGTTTTTCAATGGTAGACTCTACGCGATCCATCGGAACTTCTCATCTCCAGTGCGCTTTCATTTCTTTGAAATTATTCCTATTTCGAGACGAATCTTGAAATTATTAATTATAAGAATATACAATATTTTTTCTAATCAATCCCGCATCGTTCAGTCTATGTCAAAGCATTTCGTATAAGAGTAAACGTAACTAATCAGACATTAATTGAATGTAACGCAATCTGAACTCTTGTATCATGCGTCGGGAATTTTTCATTGATCTCGTAATCATGAAATACGCCGAAGAGTTTCCTAACTCTTCTTCGCGTTCGTCCCATTGCATACGTTTCGTCGCTCCACTTAAGAATAGAGGGAAGAACCAGACGGAGACAGACGATACCTTTTGAACTTTCTTAGGACTCGTGGGTGTCGAAAGCTCGTCCCCGCTCGCTCGTTCATCAAGCGTGCACGCAGCTTTACGGATACACATGGGTGGGGGTTCACCGATGAGATCGAGGAAGGAAGGGAAGAGGTACGGAGCACCGTACTATTCTCTATGCCTATGCCATGGCCCGTGTAACGATGCTGTTCATGATAATGCGATAGTGTTGGTCTGTGCTTAGCACTTGATAAAAGATAGCGGTGACTGAACAGATGCCAGTACTCACCCGCAGTTCGACCTGTCGGTTAATCGGTCCCGCGTACTCGCCCCGTGTTTGCATCCACGCACATTACATAGAAAGTGACACGGACGGGATCGCCAACGAATTTCGACGCCCGTTCCCTTTTAACGAGTTATCTCACGATCCGACGAATAATGAATTCAGGTGCGTTTGGTGCGATGACAAAGTTATAGAAGTTTCGAAGATGAGAGGAAGCTGCGAGATCTGGTCCAATCGTTTGTCCATCATCCGAGAAAATCGCATTGCACGAGGTTCCAGGTCAGCGAAACAAGTCCTTTCGGTAGGATGATAACTGCGATCAAAAGGCAGTACTACTTCAAGAAAATCCGCTGCAAATCTTGATTATCAACGAGGCGATCATCCGAATCTGATCTTCGACAAGCTTGAATGAAATTCGAATCGACGATGTCCAATCATGATTAAGATATTAGACAGTGTTCTAGCAGCGCAGTTAAACATCGAGAGATAAGAGGAATCGTCGGGAAGAAGAGAAGGAATCATCGTTGTCTGGACAAAAGGACATCGTCTAGGCTCTCGACTCTCAAGCCGATTTGAATTGAACTTGACGAGGACGTGTGATTGCAATTGAAACTCAATTGGAATACCAAAGAAACAGGCTTCCTGGCGAATAATGACGGGCACCCGGTGGACTCGGACTCGAGCTCGGCCTAAAGGCGTGCACCACCAAAGCGAGCGTCATACTACAGCCTCGAATCATGCATGATGAGTAGCGCGACTAGGCTCGATGAGGATTGGATGAGAATGGTCGAGTTACGAGGTGGTACCGGAATGACGAGCGGGTTGAGCGCGCGTTCATCCAGTCGTCTCCATTACATGATACTCACGATTTTGGACACGGTGTTCTCTGCCACTGTGGCCGCACCAGCCGTTGTCGGTTACTGGAGAGGCACCTGGGGCCTCAGCGACGTCTACGTCTACCCGAAGGACCCGGTGCTGAGCAGCCTGACCTCGATAGTGATCGGTTTCGTGGGGTTGTACGCGTTCAACGTGTCCCAGAACATTCTCAATGAGATTCTGCACCCGGACAAACACAGACTCTCGTACTATATTGGCTCTAGGTTGTACACGGCCGTGTTCGGGTTTTGCTGCGTAAATGCATGGCGCGGCGCGTGGCAGGCCCTCGACCTGTACACGGAACACACGGCGAGCACCGTTTTCGCAACAACCGCGGTCAGCTTGCTCGCACTGGCCATCATGCGAGCCGTCAGAAACATTTCCGCGCCGCCGTTCTCGCTTTGCTTGGATTCGTGTCCGGGATACTTCGAAGTACAGACCATGTTCCGCGTGAACGTAAGTAATCGACGATTCTCAGTAAAGCGTTGAACGTTACCTGGAATACACGCAATCGTTGCTCCGAAATTCGAGCTCAAAGATTGGCAACGATTGAGAATGAACAAATATAGTAAATCCTCTATTATATGAAGTAGTTGAGAGATAAATATGTTCACATAAATGAATTTTCACGTGGTACCAGTTTTCATTACTCGGTTTGGTCCAACGAAAATGATAGACATTATTTAGGGAGTTTGACGCACTTACACCTGAATTGAATTGTCGAAACTTTCTATAATGATTCGTGATAATACCGTGGAAGTTTTCATTTTCGTACCGATTACCTTCGTATTCTACAATTTCGTTTCATCGACAGTATTGTGGGTCACGAGTGGTACAACTAAACGAAATTACCCGCAAGGCTACAAAATCTCCCATAACCGTTCTCTTCTCTTGAAAATATATTCATCCACCCAATTAGTTCGCCCATCGTTTTCCCAAAAATTGTTTCTCGTACATACAATTGGCACGATCATAAATCATAAAAGTCGTAACATATCTGCAGACTTCATAGAAAAATTGGATGTGTATAATACAGACAAATTGGATATAATGTGTATGTCTAAATAAGTATGTGTAAATCTGTTAAAAATTGAGTACATATTGCAACATTTAAATGATAAAAGAAATTGCTACATAAAATGCATTTTTTCAACTGATATCATAACTGTTTTATTTTTCATAAAAATCTGCAGTATAGTTATGAGAAAGGTAATAACATTTTGTAGATACGTTGTATTTTCAAAAGTTGTTTCACCGAAAATAGTTGAATCGAACGCTGAGCATTTATTATCGGAAGGAGGGTAAATGTTAAATAGGAAACGTAATAAGCTAGACAACGTGTTTTGACGTATAGCTGTGGCCATAGCTGAGCGATGCACGGCATCGATGTGCAAGGTATAAGCACAGTTTCCGGCTGTCTCTCCCGAACAGCATTGCATCCGTGCACTTTGCGCACGCACGACCATCATGCAATTACAATTTCAGTTTCTTCGCTGCTTTCTCTTGATCTACTTAAGATTAAAAAATCGACATATATATATAGTTTAATTTATATCGCGTTCCTTTTTCTATGATGAATATTTCTAGTTTTTTTTTTAAAGTTGTTTCTTGATGTTATATCGATTAGCTGGAACGGTTATTAAAAATTCGTAGTAGTTTCCTAATGTTAAATATTTTCAGATTTATTTAAACTAATATGTTCTTATTTAGGTATTATTATAAGGCTGCGGATTTTACGTATTTATAGATATTTTTGATGTGCAGAAAATATAAAAAATAACTGTAATCTGCAAAAATATGCATTACACATACATATGCACAAGCGTATGTAATTACTTTTAAGGCTAAAAGAAATTTCACAATAGATTTTTAAATTAACATAACAGAAAAATAAAAAATCCGCAATCAAATTATCTGTTCTTATTGGTGCTTAATAAATTAAATTCGGAAATAATTTTCATCATCCAAATACTCTCTATTTAGGAAACAAGTGTCGAGAAATGTCATGAGAAGTTAAAAAATAATACAGTGAGTATAGAAACATTTTCTATACTTAATGAATGCCCCGCCAAAAAATGTATCTCTTAAATATCGACTGGAAGATTCTTCGAATAATTATTAAAGCTGAACTTGACCTATATTTTCTTCGTACCTTCGGTATTGTAAACGATATATGTTAGCATCCTTCTTTCATAATTTTCAGTTCCCCATCTCTTCTACACGCCAGCAATAATATTTAATGAATCAGTAAATTTAGGGAAGCATAAGTTAACTATCCGCGTAAAAAAGCATGCAAAACTCGATTTTTTACATTTGTTCGCATGATCCAATTTTTATCGAGAGACTATATGAAATCGGTTATAAAATCAATCCAGAAATATCGAAAAGAACTGGTGTTATTACTCACTCGATATTTTTAAAGCAAGGATTTGGTATCACAATTTATCAAACGAATATTACGGGCGTCCAGAATTGATAATATTGCTTCGGTAATAAACATTACAGACTCACGAGCATTATAAGATCTCTGTTATATTGAATCTCAATACCATACGATACGAATTCCATTCTTGACTGCGGATTTTTATGCATAATGAAATTAGTCTAAAAAATGTAATTTAGTCTTAAGCTTTATGGCGTGCAAACAGTTTTTGATATGTAATATATTCTTATACAGTCCATACACTCTCCCTTTTCTGCAGATAAATTTTTATACAGATTCAATTTTTCTATATACATAAATATCCTCAATCTGGTTATAGATCGACAGTAGTGTATTGCGCTATCGAACAATTCCCGTCCCTCTTTAAATATTTCCCGGTAAGTTTCTTACCTGTAAACGATGCTTATCTATCGTTTATGTTGTCTGATTGCAGAACACGAGGGACTGGTTGTTATACTTATTGGACTGTGCCTTCAGCGTCGGAGTGGTCGGTACGCTGGTAGTGTTTGTATGGAGAGGTGCCTGGATACTTTTCGAAATCTACCTATTCCCCGATGATCGAAAGTATTCCGCCATCGGATCCCTTGTAAGTGTCAATATATTGAATCGATGCATACAACGTGTCTATTTTAAATATAGCTGACGTACCTAACTCCCATATCATGTATTTCAGTCAAGGAATTTGTTAGTTACATATTTAAGTGGTAAAATAATTATCTGAAATGTATTAAGGGAGTAGACTCTAATAGCGCCGCGACAAGACAGAATGTCACTTTATACAAAGAAAGAGATTGTTCTAAATGAAATCAAGACAAGAGCATGCGAGATTTAAGTTTCGTTTTCTCAAAGAGACAGTTCATTATTCAAAAATCTTCTCATATAAAGACAAAAAGTGTAGCCCCATGAATCCATATTTTGCATCATTTTTGCCTAGTTATTGATAAAACACGTATTGACAAAAAACATTAAAAATTTACCGACGAACATTAGAAAACTCACGCGACTATCCTAGCACGTTATGCAGTACAAATACAATCAAACAAATAAAAATAAAATAATAGTGGACGATGAGATGAAACTACATATATAATAGATGTTTTTCACTTAGAAAATTTTAACGACGTTACATATGCACTCTAATCAATTATTGGGCGGTGTAAAGTTGTGTTATAAAACCGCGAAGATATTTAAAAATACTTATTAACACAATAGATGTTATACGTACATAAAGTTAAGATTGCTATTATCGTATGCAGAACCTCTCCATGAAACGTAATTATATAATTACGCGGCACTGAAGTCAGTATAGCAGTATCAACAATTTCTTATGAATATCTCACAAACTATTATCAGTTGCCAATTTTTGTAAAGGTAACGATGACTCAGGATCGTGTCCCTGACAACATATCGAAGAATCATTGAAATTGGAAATGTTGATTTTTATTCCCACCGGTTTTAGTGTTAACACTTTATGCTGTCAATCTTAAGAAGAAATGATAATCAGTTTGTTAAACCCGTGAAAGCGCGTAGATATGATGTGTACAAAACATCAAACAGATAAAAGCGGACTCGTATCGATGAACGCGTGTCATCGGGTGTCATTAGCAATCACGTGTTGAACGACATTTTGAAACGTGCCACCTACGCACAGTGGGGCGAGCGGCACGCCGTTGGTCCGATTGTATAATTGAATATTCGCCAATTGTATGATTGCGAGGGCACATGACAAAACCGTTGAATGCATGTATGTATGCGTGCGCAAAGACACTTTACTGCGGGCTGCGTTTACTTGCCTGAATACGTTTCGCGAGAGAACGCGGTCAACGAGAGGATTTTTCTCAATAACGACCATCCGTCGCTCTCCTGAGCCACGTGCTGTTTCGTTCAATATTCCCAACGAAACGTCAGCATCTCGATTATTCAAAAAGAAAAAGTTCCGCTTGTCGCATTTCTACCATAATACTGATATTATGGCTTGCAAACAAGCGGATGAGCCTATGCAAACATTTCGACATTGTACACTTAAGACTGGAGCCTGTGGAATTGTTTCGTTGCAAAATGAATTCACACAATGTTGGCGCCACGCTGTGCGTTCTCCGCGACAACAATAACTAGGTTTCGGATGTTTATGTTAATGCAAGTTTTTACAGAAAACGGATCAAGAGCAATGGGACCGAATTTATTTGTAAATTCATCTCAAGTAATTACCATAATAAAATATTTCCGATATTGATAATTGATAAGGGATAAAATCAGAACAGTTTGATGCTATTGGAAATTGTATGAATTTCTTAAAGTATTTCTGGATGTTTAAAAAATGCATAAAATACGGAAGGGTGGAGTATCGTTAATGAAAAGTTAGATCAATGGTGATCCTAATTTCGTTATTAATGAAAATAAATGATGAAGTATTTTTTATCTGGACCGGTGAAGGATTTGGAGGACCTATAAAAGTACTTGAACTAAATTTAACTTATGCTACCATTACACCCTGTTATGTAAAGTGAGTCACTCTCTAAAAATTTACAAATAAACGTCGTTAAATAATAACATCAAATGTGAGAAAGATGTTTGTGATAACTGCATAATTGTTAATACTTAATATTCCAAATGTTTCATATTTTTCTTGCATATTTTCATATTTTTCAAAGAAATATTACAATCTTCTTACATATTTATCATGAATAAAAATCCGGAGTCTAACAATAACATTCGACTTTTCTCTGATGCGGTTGATTGCCGGGGAATACAAAAGAAATCGGGATCGCCGCCACTTGTTCCGCACAGACCTGACGCGACGGACGTCTGGCCGATGCAAACGATAAGATTTGTCTAGCGGCCAGGTAAAACCGTAGGTACCGCAGATTCATAGTGCGAATTCGTTATCGGCTTTAACTTCAGATTAATAAAAGCATCGGATGATTTATCGATCGCCGAGATCAATTGTAACTTTCCGATTTCAATGACTCCGCCCCCGGTGGGAAAACCAACCGTGCAGGCAAACAAATTTCGTGGCGCCAGACTGTAAAACCTTTTCTCTTTGCACCGCCATCCGACGCGACTCTGTCTATTATCAGCGCATTTCTTTCTATCGCTCCTGCGAATTATCGACTCAGTTAACGATCGCTCTATAAATTAAGTAACTGATTTCTAACGTTATTAAATAACGAAATTTCGTATAATTTTTTAAACGTAATCAGACGTTCGTCAAAGTAAACGTGCTATTTAGAAAATTTTTGGTAAGACTAAATTACGTATTTCAGATAGAATGTTTTTAATTTGTTCAGATTTCCGGAAACTTGAAGAATTTAATTTAAAATAGGAAGTTAAATCCTATTATCAAAGTTTAACGCATTCGCTTAAAATACAAAGATAAACGTAGATCATTGTTATTTAGAAACCGCTTAAGCACGATCATTGATAACGCCACGGTAATGTTTATCCATCGATGTTTGATATTGTTTGATACTTGATTCAATGAGTCTTCCTCGTACTCTTCACCGAACGAAAATATCTAAATCTATAGGAGAAAATTTGTTGGAAACGTGATATTTAAGGGATCGATTGAGAATCCTTGGAGATGCATACAAATTCAACCGATATAAATCGCATGGGGATTACTGATAATGTAAATTCTCAGGGGGGTCGATGATTGGTCGTCCAATTCACGCATTTACTACTCGCTCGCAATGCCGCTTCGAAACCGCGTGAAACAGCAAGCGGACGATTTATCGCATTAGTAGAAATTCTCGGTAAATGCGAACGTTAACGATATTGACGAATTCTTCTCCTACTCGCGACAACTAGACTGTAAAAAACTTTCACTGCATCTCCACATAAAATCTTTCCTAGGAAAATACGTAAAAATAATACAAAGTAAGCAAACGGGGGTAAGAAAATGTAGGGTGACTCGGGATAATCACCACGTTTGAAAATAAACCACTTCTCAACAATTTCCTATCTATTTCATAGAACAAGAAAAAGGAAGTTCACAATTTGATGATTCTATTACCAAAAATTAAATTGCATTACACCGATCCATTTTAAAAAGAACAAGAATTGGATAGGAGAACAAACTAGTAAAAGGGACAAACTAACAACGTTGAGAAAATAATGTCCGACAATTTTTTCATCTAAAATATTAAATGGGTCACTTGCATCAATGGGTATTATCAAATTGTTCCTAAACCGAGACGTCTAAAATGAATAAATACGTAGTTGCTGATGATTCTCTCTATTTACTTCTGAACAATTGTCGCATGCAATTGCAGGCCATCGGATACGTGATAGTGACTGTGACGTTCTCGCTGCAACCGTTAATGCGATACGTGTGCGCCCGTCTTCAAGGCTTGGCCCGTTTGATAGCGGCGGACGGATTCCTCTTGCTTAGCTTCCTGGGCACGGTAAACGTTTGGCGCGGCATCTGGACCGTGCTCGATATATGGCTAGTGCCCGAAAACAAGGAATTATCCTGCTGGATCACCCACGTCGGATGCTTTGTGTTCCTTGTACTTCTTAACTGCAGCAACTCGATTCTCGTTCGCGGCATTTATATCGACGCCGAGGAGGATGACGGCAAATGCGTCGCATTCCCTTGCCACTATCTTCGATTATTCTTCAAGGTCAGTCGATGGTTCATTCTAACTACCTATGGCTTTTCTAAATCTTCTAAACGAAATTAAAAACAGACTCGGATATTGGCGTGACTAATAGATATTGGCCCAAATTGGATGAGCCTGACCTCCCCACTCCCATCTAAAAATTATTGAAATATTATATGTAAAAGCATTCAGTAAAATCTCTTAAGTTAATACTCGAGATAAAATGCAATACGTAACGTAATTAAATGCAAAAAATAGCGAAAGGGTGGAAACCTATTTTCTCTGGAAAAATACCTTACAATTAGTTACGTAAATCTGAAGTAGAAGAAATAAAGAATGCAAGTACAAGAAAGCGTAATTTATTGACAGGTCGAACGCGAAAGGAAGGAAGCAAGACGACGAAATCTGCTGGTCGCCTCGAAGGACTTCCGACCTCGGCCAGACGGCAACGCCAAAGACACGGAAAACGGAGCACTCTTGCCTAACAGCACTACCACCACTATCCTACCGTCAAACCCGGAATCTCTCGTCTAATTTCAAAGGACAGCACTGCGAATATTTCTCACGTCAGATCGTCGTACAGCATCGAAACGAACAAACGAAGACGAAATCGTCGGGAGGACAAAGGATTTCAAGTCCCAGAAGATGAACCGTGCTCTCAAAATCAGTGACGATGGTGAAGTGAAACTTTCCGCGGGCTTCATATTGAAGTCGTCGAGAAATTTATTAAAGCATTCACAACTATGTAATAGAATAGGTAGACCGAAGACGAGGTAGACAAGTAGTCGCGATAGCCGTATAGATCGACAGATAAACGTATGTAGATAGACACGCAAAATATACGCTTAGGGTACCGATTTAAATTAGACGAACAAACCGATTGACGAGGAAACGAGAGGATCCGAGTCGGATGATGGATTCCAGTGAATGGCTGTGAACGAGTGCGATTATAAATCGTGAAACGCGTTTGTACATAAGGGACGAAGAGGATATTGTATGTACATAATTGTATCTATGCGTCTAATCGTGTAACCGAACTAACAGCGCGCGTCCTTGCAATTGAGTCGACGAAGGCCGTGACGAAACGAAGGAGGAACACGTTCTTCGTCTACGCAAGGGTGTACGCACACGCATCAGTTGCGTGTTGCAACGTAAATCGCACACTGTACGCGTGTGCACGCGTACGTATCTATAGACACGTGCACGCACGCGATTACGCAATGATTCATTCAGAATGATTTCGTGTGACAAATCGTGCGCCTTGATTCGAGTTCGTCAGACCGGATCATTTTGTATACGTATCTCGTGGGACGTTAATTTAAATGTATGGACGATTCAACGAGAGTTTAACTACTGAAAGTATCGATTATCCGTAAACCGTAAACTCTAACGCGATCGATTTATTATTATTAATAAAGACTCGTTGTTACTTCAAAGAAGTGTTTGTTAATATCAATTCCATGAGACTTCTACTCTGTTAGTGATCGTTAATAATTGCTACGTTCACAATCGACGCATGATCGATCAGGTGTCAGCGAATTTATTCCCCCGTCGTGACACTTGGAAGCTTTGCGATCCTAGCGTTAGATGAGACCTTGACGATGACAATGGTAGTAGACTGGACACGATCATTGTAAATGGGTTATAACCTTCTCCCCCGCATCCTGTACACCCCGCAGATTTTGCTCTTGTACACCAATTACGACGTCACACACACACACACACATGACGTACTAATAATTAATTAACTGGAATAATGACGGGACAATGGGCCTGCTAGCACATCGATGGGAAGTGGCTAGTTCGACGATAACCGGCTGCCCCCCTGACCTACATTTAATATTTTCACAATGGACAATGTACCAGCCACCAGGCGGTTCCGACGGAAGTTTTTCACCTGCGTACCACAGAAAACTGGAATCGACTGTTCGATTCGCAAATGCAATTCCGCAGGTTTGCATCACGAGAGATCTTTTTTTAACACGTCAGTGGAGAGGTAAAAGCTTTCAATAAAAGATGTGAACACCCCAAAACAAATTTTGTGGTTCCTATCCTTGTACTACATCTACTAATAACAGTAAGTTTACCGATAGATGTTCGAGTATGTACATGCACATGATGTACATGAGGATGCACGGTGTGATCTTCCTGAGTTTACCATAAAATTGGAGGCGGAAAAAGTTTCACACGAGAAAAGCTCTGATATTGTTCTTTCATTGTAATAAAGGGACTGGCCATTCTCGTTGGGCTTCTGCAGTACTTGACGTAGTTTACAATTTATATGCTTTTGTCCATTTGCAATTTCTACCACATCTGATTTGTTGGAATAAAAAGAAATCCAATGATTGTATTATATTAACACTTTCGTGGTCAAAAGTTATCCTAAACAGATCAGAGGCTCATCGATTTTTAATTCTACATGTCTGCTCTTATCCTTACGAGCTTGAACGGCCAAAAGGTTCTAATTTTTTTAGACCAATGCCAGCGAGCATTGTCGAGGGCGTGTGCTGCTACGAAAATGCGAAGGGTAATTAAAAATATATAGAGCAATGATAGCCAAACCTTGTTATGACACGAACCATATTTCGTCTATTAGAAATACTGCAGAGATATATCTTCAATTGGATCGGTATTATGTATATGGACGGATTCAATTAAAATGCAATAGATGGTTTTAATGTCTATAGACCTCAAAATTTTTCTCTGAGATCATCAAAAAGAATCTTTAATCTCGCTTGATTGTTGTAATATCGGCTGACAGACGTATCGCTGTTGCATATTCTTTCGCTTTTCGAAAGCCAGATATCTACAAGACAAATCTTTGGCTCGCGAGCCACAATTTTGCTACTAATGATATAGAGCGAAGGGTCGTGTGTTCCCTTGAAGAAATTTCGGTTAACAGAGGACAACGCATCGCGACGGTAATAACGATGATCGATTCTCGATCAATCGCAATTGTATTCACTTTTGTCGTAGTGGGGAGTCTATTTGAGGCGTCGCGACGCTGTGGTGCAATGGTCAGAATCACTTGGTGGGTCGTATCACGGCGAAAGGTGAAGAGAGAAGTGGCCGTCAGAAGGGAGAGTCGTAGCCAAGCAGCGCTTGCATGCTGATCGTCTACCGGAAACGCGAAAAACTTTCACGAGTGGAAGAAGTGAAATTTGTAAGGTGACCCGGAACTTCACTGTTCGTCCTATAGGATGGCGGCGGATGATCCCCTCTGCAACGAGCCTCTAGTTTCCGTGGAGTTCGAAGTCTTCGGCAAAGTCCAGGGTAAGGGTGCGAGCTTTTTCGATCAGAAGGTTGTCGAATATTCGCTTAAGTGCTATATCATTTGGTACGAAATGTTCACTTGGACATTTAAGGATAATCGTAGATATGCGAGTCGAATTACAGTACAGAATCAAAAATGAAGACAAAATTCGATTTAATGTTTAATTTGAAGTACATTCGCGTGCGCTCTGGCCTCATGATATTCTAGAGAAACTATGTTCGCTGTATACGAAGAAAATGATATTTCATAGGCTCTAAGAAATAGCGTTATATAGAACATGAATTCTGAAATTGAAAAATTATTCTAATATTACATAGTTGGAAAAATTCTTGGAAGGTCACGAGTCATGAATAAGTGATTCTCTCGTGGAACTTTAATCCTCGTTCTCAGACTCAGTCCGATTCTAATACAATTATCACGAATGAGATCTTCAATTTCATTTAGTGGAAGGACAAATGTCAGATAAAGTAGGTCAATTCAAATTTTCAGGTGTATACTTTCCAAAGTACGTGAGGGACATATGCCAGGAACTGGGGATTTCCGGCTGGGTGAAAAACACAAAGTCCGGCACGATACTCGGAAAAATGCAGGGGCCACGTGCTCTCGTCGATCAAATGTAAGTTACAATTCTTTGTCAACGATGTCTTTGCACAAACCGTCGTTGACGCCGGTCAGTAAACAATGTGAAAGTTCGCTTTTGTTGAAATTTATCTGCGCTAGAGATAAAACGAGTGCTGCAGACAATGCATCTTGTCGTGTTTCGGTTTTCTCATCACAGAGAACAATAACGAATTTCAATTTTACTCATACGACGTTCGAAGTTTTCAGCATAATAATAAATTGATGCATCGTCTTCAAGCACGACAAATGTAATTTCTGTAATATATCGTACACTGCATTCAAATAATTTATCAATTACTTTCACATGTGTGCTAAATGATAACATGTGAAGATTCATTGCCAAAAACCAGTGAAATCTGCAATGTAAAACTCACAGTGGATAAAAGTTGACTTATAGCCGGAAAATTCTAACTCCAGAAACAAAACAACATCTCTTATGCATCAGGCTTGTGTGATATTTGTGTAGCAAATGAGAAGATAAAAAGTGCCCTCGTATTTTCTTCCTAATTCTGTCTTTAGATCTTTCAATTTGTTCCACGAATTAGTGACATAAGCTTGCTAATACAAGTCCACGAACTCAGTGCTCCCTTAAAATCGCGTGACCTTAGCCGCAAATTGCCGAGTAACGGTCATTAGGTAGTTGGGCCTGGCTTTAATAATGATCTAATGAAATAATAGCGCGGTCCGCGTCGTCTCTTCTCTTTTCTTCGCGAGTCGTCGCCGAATCGATTCGATAGCAACTATCAACGTGTTTATGCAAACGAATTCTTTTTCAATAATTCACGTGGCCTTAATTCCGAAGCTCGAATGAAACTGTTAAGATCTTCAATTGCTTATAAAACCACTGTAATTTTATAATTACCTCTTCTGTTCCAAGAAGACATAATATGCGCTTTCTCTTCGACATATATGTATTTAACATAATTTCTTAAATAATATTAATTCCAAAAATATCCTTCACTTTTATATCCTATTGTTTAATATGCCTTCCGAATTATATGATCCTCCAAAAATTTTATCAATTAAATGTAAAATAATTATCAAAACTAAATTCTTTAAAAAGAATTAAAGTGTTTTTGTATAAAATTCACTAAAAAAAAACAGATTTAAAAGTTCGATAAATAACTAATTTATAAAAGTCAACATTTTCATTTTAGCCCTGGAAATAATACGTTGACGAAATTATTATTTTCTAACATATTCATCAGTGAAAAAATACTGTGAATTAATTCTATTGTAAAATTAATGTAGTGAATGTGTATTAACAAGAAGAAATGAATATATATTGTATCATTGATGCGGTTCATCATACAAGAGCCATAAAGAAAGAGCTACGAATTCTTCATTGAGAATGACAGAGAAAGACCAAGATGAGAAGGCTGTAATCGTTATTTAGAGATGTGAGCCAGACCTACTGATCCATATATTTTGCCAATTGCGTAGACAGACAGAAGGAACAATGCTAGAAAGGCGAATTATTTCTTGCCCAAGCAAGATTGCTGAATAAATAGAAATTTGGACGGTGGATATTAAGTGCCTGTACCGGGAGCGTACATCGCTTTTCACGGTCGGAGTTGCGCTGCTCGTGAACCTGAAGTCAGAGGAAATAGCTCAGCCGAGGACAAAACACTAATTTCTGGCCTCTCCCCAGAAGGAAATCGTCTTAGATCGAGCTTCATTGTTAATTTATTGTTTCACTCGTTTAAACATTATTTGAAAAGTCGCTGACCTCTCTTCTACATGATTAATTAAGAAGTTAATTAAGTAAATCATAAGGACGAAAAATCCGAAAAAAACTGACCCAAGATCTTAATTTTTTATTTCCAATATATTAATAATCAATTCGATAATAAGTCGGTTTAGTTGGCTATTACCTACACGCTGAAGGCTCGGTCAGTGTTATTGTCGCGTGACAACAGCTGATCGACTTTAAAGATCCTACTTCGATAGAGCCGCTTAAAATATCTGAACTCGGTCTGATTAGGCGCTAATTATAATTGCTAAGCGTGCAAAACTACAGTCATGGCATATGTGACGCACGCTTTAATCAATCGTTATTTGGCGGCTGATTTTATTAGGCTGGTGGTGCATACGAAGTATTTTGTTTCTCGAGTTTCAATTTTTCGGATGAAAATTATCTATCATATTTTTATATTATTGTCCGCTACTATGAATTAAATTGAAAACGAAATAATTTGGTATAACAACAAAATTTAATAGTAAAAAAAGTAAAAGTATTACAATTTCGATTTTTCTGAATAAAATAGTGATCGCTATTATGTATTCTTTTCAATTATATTACAGGACTATGTAGGAATGTCTAAAAGTAATTGATAAATTGTTTAAATGACGATATAATACAGAAATTATATCTACCGTGACTGGTGATATTTCATATGCACCGATAGATATTATGTAGAGATAAGAATAATTGCACTAGTAAATATTACAAGGTATAGATTTAAATGGTATAATCAAATGGTTTTTATGATTAAGTTCTTCATTTCAGGGCACAATGGTTGACAAACGTCGGAAGCCCAGGTAGTCAGATTGATCGTACTGAATTCACAAATTGGGAGGCCATCAGTAGGCCGCAGTACAAAGGATTTGCTATACGTTTCTAGTTGTACGATTTCTAACATCCTTGGAATCCAAATCATAAAATCATATGCGTTTTGAAAACGCGTATCACTGATTGCCAACGTATTTTGACTAATTAAAAGATACGTCCGCAATTAAATTGTATTTTATGATAGTTTAAAAGATTGATAAGTTTTGCAACATTTGTATATATAAATTACAAGTTATGCATATCAATAACTGCGAGACGTAACAGATAAGAAAATTGAAAACAGTTAGTTAATACTGATTCGATCTAAATGAAATGTGAGAATTAAATAATCCATGAAGTAATAAAATTTTTGTAGCTCTTTAATCTATTATGTGCAATATGTTAACATACATGCATATTTATACCACAATTTTTTGTGATACCAAATGTTTCTAGTATTTCTGACCTGATGGATCAATAATACATATCAAATATATTTTATATTTACTTAAAACATCAGATTCAATACAACGAATTAAAAACAAAAATTACAGATTTTATTAAACTCATTTCCTATTAGAAATTAGCGCTAAGTTACTTGAATATTGTGTTCCCTCGTAAATCCCTCGTATGTACCTTCAAACGCCGCGTCTAACATTAGCTGCGCAAGATGATAATTCGGATGCGTTTCGGGCAAGTGTCTCGAAACTCGCCGTATCAGCTCGATATTATCATCGTTTGAACAATTTGTACAAATTACATTCGGCGCATCCTGAAAGGAATAATGAAATTCATTTGTAATAAACTGAGATAAAAAGTAATATGTATATAATANCTTACGAGGCTTTCTAAATATTTAGTGAGAGTTGGACTTATACGAGCAACTTCTTTCAAAAGATCGGGTGTCTTCGAAAGATATGCCATCATTCTCCTCCCAGCAATCGGCAAGAGATCTTCTGCTAATTTCTCAACATCGTTTACAGCTGCGACAACCTATTAAACAAAATGAAGACACGTAACTCCATATCCGATGAAAAATTTCCAGTGAACTATGATTCACTTACATCTTCCGCTATTCGATCGAAACCATTTACATATAATTGACAAACTTGATATATTCTTAATTCATCATTATTTATTTTCCAAATTGAAGCTAGTGTCTGACATTTACTCATCCATTGAATGGCTTGCATTGAACTGATCATCTTTTCATCCGTTGTCTCTTGGTGGATAAAATCCATTGACGCACTAATTACACGACATAGAAACACAGTCCTCATGTTATCTCTTTTATCATCCCTGTACCATGTAAGCATCACTTTATCCGACATTGTTTGAAAAAAATACGGTTGCACCTAAGTATATATTTAGAATTCATTACTTTTACAAAGCAATGAGAATATGTATTTTACGCCTTTATCCAATAGTTCCATTCACTCACCACAGATTCGAATAAATTGTTTAGCGGTTTTGTTACTTTCAAATTAAAATATGCCATCATGTACAAGACATCGGCTAATTGAACATGTAACATGATTAAATCGTATCCAGCAGGTGCTTGGGAAATAGCTAATGCAGCGAAAGGTTGTGGTCCAGAAGTACATCCTTCCCACAGTTCCTCTGACTTAATTACAGTATTCTCTCCAGCTTCAAGTACTTCAGACTGATACAACATAGAATAAATGTCAACGAAGTCTATATTATGTGAAATTTTTCATGACAAAACTTACATCGATAAATATTTCTAAAAACGTGACACAATTTTGTAAGAACACAATTGCTTGTGCATCGGACAGACCAATTTCTTGCATGCACAATCTCTCCTTTGGTAGCTTCCCAAGCTTATTAATTAATTTTGCAACCGCTTCCATTCGCTTCTTTATATGGACTGACCATAATAAGCAACACACACCTAAAGGAAAATTTCTATTAAAAAATAACAATAATTTTTTTTATTGATTACGTACCGTGCCTCATATGTTTCATCGGTATTTGTTGTAAAACAGATAACGCAGCTTCAAGGGAGTTCAATTGCGAAATGTCTTTATTCCACGACATCGCAAATTCCCAACATACATTAGCTAGCAAAACACTACTTGTTAAACTGTATGGGAAATGACGTTTCAATAATTTAATTCCCTCTAAAAAGATAGAAAATATATAATACAATTTACGGATTGAAAGCGTAACTCAGAGATACAGATAGGAAAGTACTTGTCCCCCACCTAAAATACATGTAGTAGCGCTTCTACTATCTTCCTCTTCACTTTTTTCATCAGGAAGTTTTTCCGAATTGCATTGCGAGACGTTTACATCGCAAATATCACCTGAAGAATTTGGAATTTCTGAGGAATCATTTGCTAGCTGCAGCTGATCGAATTCTATATCCGTTGAATCTACTAATTGACCAGGATCTATACCCGTAGAAGCAATCCACTTTGCAATGATCTCTGATACAGAACCTAATTACAACAAGAGTTAGAAATGAAATTAGAATGATATATAATATTACGTTGATGCAAATGAAATGTCAAATAGAAAATAGCAAATGTGAAATAGCAACTGTCTGAAATATGCACCTTTCCCTTTTGAGAGTACCGATGCCAGAGAAATATCAAATTTTACAAATGGTAATGCAAAAAATTGTGTTGTCTCATCTGACGGAGGTTGCTGACTGAAATAAACGTTCTGTAAAAGTTCTCTGAGTATTTCTCTTCGAGATCAGAAGAATTTTGTTCTTAGTTACCTTACAACAGCATCTAAAATCGTAATATCTTCAAGATTTCCAATTAACAATGTGAACTGACAACTATCTTTCGTAACATTTTCCCATTCACTCGTCAAATTATACACTTCATCATCTGATTTTAAATTACTAACGTAATCTCGATGTTGCTCTACTTCCACATTAAGGTCATTCTCTTTCTTAATATCTTTTATTCCTTGATCGTCATTACTCTGAATTTCATTAACACACTTTTCTCTGTATTTTTCTACCGACATAGCAACAGCCCTACAGACCAAAGCAGCGGTAAGTGCATTAAACGGATTTATTGAGTCTGCAAGAATATTGCGAACTTTCTTCCACCATAAAGATATTTCATTATATTCTGCGCATATTTCTTCAACATCTAAAAATGACGAAATTCATGTCATAGAAGCATATATTACTCTTATTAATAAATACGTTTGACACTTACTGGCTATCGAACAAATAGCATTTAAAAGTTGTGTAAATTGTTTTAATTCTGTTTCTAAGCATACAATTCGATTCTTATTGAGCCAATAAATTAAAGCAAATTTCATAAAAACAAACGGTTGAATATTGCTATATATGGCAGCTTCTTTCCATGTTTCAATCCTGTCACATGAATGAATGCATCCCTCGTACAGTAATCGAGCTAGAAGTATATAAGAATATTTAACTGTACGTAAAATGGATTTTTAGAATCCTATACAACAATGCACTTACAAATTTCATATTCCCTTTCAGTTTTTATATCTCTTTTAATATCCATAAATCCTGCTGCTCCAAACTCAAAGCAAAATAAAAAATTCAAAAACATTCTATCATCCTCTTTAAATTTTACTTTACATTCTTTCTTAAAATCTGAACGTCTATAACTATTTACTTTATCAAATAATTCAAAAATTCTTTGTATTTCGCTTTCAGAAGTAAATAAAATCGAAGCTACACTGCTACTATTCGAATCATTACTGTCATTTACAGAAGAAATGTCCTGTAATGTATCAGACTGAGATTTAATATGTTTATAAAATTGTATTATCTGTTGCAATTGTGTTATCATTAAATAGAGCGTTTTTGCTGTGGGCTCCATCTCTTCTTTTTCTAAAACGAAGCGCAACAAATGATTTATGTGCTATATGATTGGTCACATCATACTATCTACAGAATTATTATTATTAGGAATAAAAATATACATACCGTACTCTTCTAGTTTCTTACCAAAACAATTGGTAGCTACGAGCAAAGCGTCAGGTATGATATTTTTATTTGTCATTAATATCTCTAGCGTTTGTACTTTTATTTCATAAGTTTTTAAATCTGAACATACATTCTCAATGTGTGATACTAATTTCTCGTATTCATATTCTTCCTCCCTTAGAAATGTTTTCAACTTTTTAAGCAGATGTATATCTCGTGCTCTTTTCCCATTTTTACTATTAAGAGCGAAATGGAATGGAACTGTAATTTCTTTCAGTCCTCCCAGTGGATCCATAAAAACACACGAGTATTGTGGTTTATTCTTTGTTAAATGTACATTATCATTTACACCAAGAAGTCCGTGATTGATGTAAAGAAGTCTGTGTAATATCATACAAATTATTATTAATTCTTATATCAGTCTTTAAATGAACTGACTCCTCAAATTTTAAGGCACTCTTGGAAATGTCTTTCAAGCAAAAAAATATGTATATGAAATCCGTTTTGACGAATTTGTTATACTACTATAAAGGAAAGAACTGTTACTCACCGCCCATGTTTACTGGCAGTAAACGTAGTAATTTTGGGGCCTTGTTGAACACTCCATATATCTATCACGCCTTTTTTGGGGGCATAAATGACTAAGAACAAAGCAGTGCGTAACTGCGGGGTTTGTTTAAATTTAGTAAATGCTTTATGAATGCCAGAATGTTTCTCTTCCTCCACTTCAATCCAACCACATTGAGCATCTCTATAACCCTTCCACATTCTCACAGCTGTGCCAGATCTATTATCCATTAGTAATACTCTACCCATTGTATCTAATACTACTGATAACGTTTTATTTGGACTAGATATTATCGAATAACCTTCCCTTGTAACATCACTTAAACCAAATCTGCATGTCATTGGTTCAACTGGTTCATGAACGCCAGTTTTTGATGCTTCGTGCGATGTTTGATGTTTCGAATTGCCCCAATTCATAGGGAACCAACTGTAAGAAAAAATTAAAATAAAAGTAGAATGCAGCTTTAGAAATCTGACTAAAAACCAAGACCAAATGAAAAAGAATCCAAATTTCGAGATTATTAACAAGCAATATAGTGGACTTAAATCAAGAAATGTATTTCAATCACAGTTCTCTTACAGGTGATGTATTCCTTTGACAATAAATGCATAACATGAATTTATTATGCAACACTCACGGAACAGCAGTTCCAATAGCATTTGCTAATTTGCTGGCCATTGCTATTGCAACATCTGATAGAACTGGAGCTGAACCACCCTCTAATGCATAATGGAAACCAACGAATGGTCGTTTACCAGTTGCAAGAACTAAATTGTGCTGTGGTGCACTGGATCTGTAAGATGCATTATATCCACCACAAATTGAAGCTGTCATTAAATGATCGAAACTGTTCACAGAGGTGATGCCAATTACTTCTGAATCATTCACAATATCCTGGCTTTTGTAGCCCCATTTCTTGTATGACAAATTTGTGATAGGTGGTAGGTCATCGCAGTTTGCTTGTACTGCAATTTGAAACATTAATGATTAACACTGAAAATGTGTACGCAAGTACTATATAATCATGAAATAATAGTGTACCTCTAGCCAAATGATTTCTGCATGCACGTAACGTAGAAAATAGGGAGAAACCTTGCAGTACACATACAACACTGTTGTATATCACATAAACTTCTTCTGTCAAAGCAGTATCACCCATGTGTTTAGGAGAACGAAAGGACTGACACTTTAATCCTAAAACTGGCTCATTATGCAACTGTTCTCCTAATAATAATGCACCCGTCTGAATTAGAAATAATTAAGTATAATCATTATACACATATTACAAACTACTACTATTCCATATAAACTAATTACTTGGCATATCAGATTCAACTTACTTCTGTATAAAACTTAATAAAGCCAGTATTAAAACCAACTATAATACATGTCCAATCTGGATTACCGCTTGCTTTTCCCAATGACATTAATGGTAAACAAATCACAGATGTTATCCATTCACTAAAAAATACTTCTAATATATGGACATATTTTCAAAGAAATTAATCACAGTAAAAAAAGCAATTACTTAACATAATATTATTGTATCAAACAACTTACTTTTCTTGCTTGGCAATTTCTCCATACCATATCATATGGAACTTATTCTTTGCTTCATCTGGCTCTAATGAATCCCACCTTGCTAACACCAAAGTTTATATTTAAAATAAAATTTAATATAAGAAGAAATGTATAANACATACAAATCAATATAATCATCTTTGTATTATATACCATAGCAAGAATATCCCCAGCTGATGATAACGATACAAAACAGTCTTGTAATGGTAATTCATCTTGTGGAATATCATCTAAAAATTGTGTTCATTGATACTTATATTATTATTATATTATGAGGCTACATTAATTCTGCAAATGGCAAAACAAAAGAATAGAGGAACTTACGTCTTTTAAAAGATTCACCAAACAATAATTCTTTAATATTATTTATGTTGGTTACATTCGCGATCTTTTTAATCTGACAAGACATATCTAATCAATCACGCACATAAACACATTTATTTCGTTTAATTCCGAATTCTTTTTTACTTTGAGTATTGTAAATGCTACTCAGCTGACTAAAACTCTCGACATTCTAATTCTAACACAGACATCTAACAAAAAGATAATAGACCACAAACTGTCGTACCGTCGTATACCATATGTTTGTACAAAGGGTAGTAATCGCAGAGATGCTCCGTACATAAGATTTTACGTTTCGTGGCAAATAAATATTCACGAACGCATTGTTATTACCATGGAGTTAACAATGTATTATACATGTCTGGGGGGTCAAATTAACACGTAAACGATGACATGAATTGTTAATGTTGGTCAAGATATAAAATGTAAATACGCAATACTTATTCATAAACGTTAGATAAATTTCAAGTCAAAATGGAGAACACGTGTTGCATGACATCACGTGACGTAATTTGTGACGTTTAGAAACAGAGACGCTAGAGTTTTTCTGATTGGACAAAGCTGATCATTGGGACCAATGAAAATGTCCGTTTCTCCGCAATGGTCCGCGTAACGTGTTCAGCCATTTTGTTATTATTTTCGAAAATCTGTAGGTTGGATTGTAAGGACGACGCAAAGCCTGCAAGTTTTCTCGTTTCTCGTTTAAAGTGAAAGGAAAAAAACAAGAAATTCGTATGGGACATATGAAATAAAGTTTCGACGATCAAACGGCCTCGGTGGGTATCGTACATTTACGTGTGGAAAGCTCTCTCTTCACTGACGATCGTCGCAAACGGAGCAAAGGCAGGAGTGACGAGTGCGAGAGAACGTGCGAAAGATAGAGAGAGAAAGAGACGGTGAGGAACAGCGAGTCTATGAAACGAGGAACGAAATTGGTCGCGCGCGGGAATCAGCGGTTGTGTGTTTGGCCTTTTTCTGATTGTGATTTGCTGCGAAAGATTGTGATTGCTGGTGTGAAACGTGTGTTTTTTACCTACGAGTTGAGAATCTACGTATGGGAGTTGATGCGGTATGTGGAAAATCGTTTACGATACTTTGTACGTTGAACAACGACGCAATGAGTAAAGTGCACCCGGATAACACAAATCTACGAATTCCAGTCATCTGTTATCGATATTATATACCTGACGCATCACTGGTGCTTCACTAAATGTATTGGATGAAATACTTTTTATAAGAGATTTATAAACATTTCGCAGAATTAATTTTCACATAACCTTGTTTGCGATTGTCAAATGTAGGTTAGGTCGAGCGGTCGCAGTGCGGTGACCTCCCTCGCTACACATTAACAATGATTTCCTAGTTTATTATTGTTGTTTCATTTTCATTATTTATGTTACATTAATATCCTTAACTTAATTACAAACAGATGTACATGATTTTTCTATAATATCACATAATATTAGTTCACGATATCAGTATTTCTGCTTATAACAATGTAAGAACAATCTTCTATTAAAAATAATCAAACATCTCATCACAATAGTTTCCTTTTACACATTTTATTTAGTAAATACTATAATTATTAAATAGTATTTACTAAATAATACATGCTTATATATTTTTAGACTTAATAATAAACTTATATTGTATGCTAAGTTAAGCTTTTATTACTTTATGAAATAAATTAGCATCTCTCTGAAAAGATATTTTGTTATATTTTTTATTGTATTCATAGATTGTGTTTTAGTAAATTACTTAATTGTGTAAAATATTGTTTTCAGATAGAGTGTATGAAAGCTGGATAATTTAAAGTAAATATGGCAACTTTAGCAGAGCAAGCATCTAAGCTTCTGGATTTTAATCAGAAGCTAGATATAACACTTCTTGATAACATAGTAGGTTGTATGTACACTGGCGTAGGTGAACAACAAAGAATTGCACAGGAAGTATTAACCACACTTAAAGAACATCCAAACGCTTGGACACGTGTAGATACTATTCTAGAATATTCACAAGTGAGTTTCCTTAATCTGAATTTATACCCTTAAATATATAAATATGCCGGCCTTTTTAGTTCATGTATTATTATATTTACAGAATCAACAAACAAAGTATTATGCTTTACAAATATTGGAACAAGTTATAAAAACGCGATGGAAAGTATTACCACGAAATCAGTGTGAGGGTATAAAAAAATATATTGTAGGCCTTATCATAAAAACAAGCAGTGATCCAGAAACAATGGAAGCCCAAAAAGTTTATCTTAATAAACTTAATATGATTTTAGTACAGGTGAGCTATTTAGGCTGAGAGAAAAGGTGAATCTTATTTATTTATTTTTATCAATTTAATGCATGATGTAGGTTTTAAAACGAGAATGGCCAAAAAACTGGGAATCCTTTATTAGTGACATTGTTGGAGCAAGTAAAACAAATGAAAGCCTATGTCAGAATAATATGGCAATTCTGAAATTACTGTCGGAAGAAGTATTCGACTTTTCTAGTGGACAAATGACACAAACAAAAGCGAAACACTTGAAGGATACAATGTGCAGTGAATTCTCACAAATTTTTCAGCTTTGCCAGTTTGTGTTGGATCATTCACAGAACGTTCAATTAGTAGCAGCTACATTAGAAACACTTTTAAGGTTTTTAAACTGGATCCCTCTTGGATATATTTTTGAAACAAAATTAATAAGTACATTAATATTCAGTGTAAATATCTTTTTCTGAACTTTTTATTTTCTTATATGCCTTTACTAGTTTCTAATCGTTGTTAATTTCTTCACAGTTCTTAAATGTACCAACATTCAGAAATATCACATTGAAATGCTTAACTGAAATCGCTGGTGTTTCCACAAAAAATTATGATGGCGTATTCGTATTATTATTCGTCAATGTAATTCTGCAAATAGAGCAAATTCTACCCCTTGACACTAACATACGCGAGGCGTATGCAGCTGGCGGTGATCAAGAACAAAACTTCATTCAAAATCTGGCTATATTTCTATGCACACTCTTGAAGGAACGTGGACATTTCATAGAAGGACATCAAGTACATGATGATCTCCTCAAAGCGTTGCACTATCTCGTATTAATTTCTGAAGTCGAGGAAGTGGAGATATTCAAGATTTGTTTGGAATATTGGAATACATTGGCGATGAATTTATACAGAGCGCACCCTTTCCCATCTCCGACGACCCCGCTGTTTATAACTAAAAGCACAATTTCGTCTAGAAGATCATTTTACAATCCAGTTCTAACGAAAGTCAGATACATTATGATCAGCAGAATGGCTAAACCAGAAGAAGTTCTTGTCGTAGAAAATGAAAATGGGGAAGTTGTCCGAGAATTTATGAAAGACACTGATTCGATTAACTTGTACAAAAATATGAGAGAGACTCTTGTATATCTCACTCATCTTGATTACATAGATACTGAAAGGATAATGACAGAAAAGTTGCAGAATCAAGTGAATGGATCAGAATGGTCTTGGAAGAATCTCAATGCAGTAAGTATATTTAAAATCTCATCTCATAGAAGGTACATTAACATTTTATACTAATCAATTATAATCCTTTTATTAGTTATGCTGGGCAATAGGCAGTATTTCTGGTGCGATGCACGAAGAAGATGAAAAGCGGTTTCTGGTAACCGTAATCAAAGATCTCCTTGGTCTTTGTGAACAAAAGAAAGGGAAAGATAATAAAGCTATTATTGCTAGCAATATTATGTATGTAGTCGGCCAGTACCCAAGATTTCTTAGAGCGCATTGGAAATTTCTAAAGACTGTTGTAAATAAATTGTTTGAATTTATGCACGGTAAGAATACTAAAATATAATCAATAGACTACGAATTTCTATACAAGATAAGATATTTAAAATATAGAGTTGAAGAATGAAATTTAGATATGGCTTGCATCTACTCGTATGTTATAACATGCACTTTGCTCCTAACATTTTGTATGCTTTTGTATACTAAATGCGTTGTTCAAAATTCAGTAGACTTGAAAATGCATATAAAACTCGCAGTCTAATAATCAATACAAACTGATTGATCAATATTAGAGGAAATGCTTTAAATAATTAAACATTTTGTTTACAGAAACTCACGACGGTGTACAGGATATGGCCTGTGACACATTCATAAAAATAGCTTTGAAATGTAGGCGACACTTTGTCACACCTCAACCAGGAGAATTAGTACCATTTATTGAAGAAATCCTTTCTACAATCAGTACTATAATTTGTGATCTTCAAACACAGCAGGTTAAATCATTGAATTCGTAACATACGTAATTGAGTACATAGTGGGATAGTAATATAAATTATAGGCATTAAAATACTGGATGCGGTTGTTACATGTTGCATGACAGTTTTTTTTAATTTGATTTTTGTATTAACTTTACTGCAGGTACATACATTTTATGAAGCAGTCGGATACATGATAAGTGCAGAAACATCTACAGTAATGCAAGAAGAATTAATAGAAAGATATATGCTTTTACCAAATCAAGTATGGGATGATATAATAAGCCAAGCATCTAAAGTGAGTACTAAAAATTATTGGGTTGGTGCAGATGAAACGTTTTCCTTTTTGTTTTAAAAGATGTTTGATATTCAATAAAACATAATATGCTTTTCTACTTACCTAACAGTAATACTTCATTGCAGAACGTTGACGTTTTGAAGGATCAGGAAGCCGTAAAACAACTTGCTAGTATCCTGAAAACAAATGTAAGAGCTTGCAAAGCTCTTGGACATCCATACGTGATACAATTAGGAAGAATATATTTAGATATGTTGAACGTTTATAAGGTATTAATATCATTTGATAATATATTTGACACTTCATATGTTAAGAGTACGTTTAATTTCCTTTTGTTCAGGTTATGAGTGAAAATATCAGTGCTGCAATAACTTTGAATGGTGAATCAGTGATGGAACAATCTTTAATTAAATGTATGAGAGTAGTGAAAAAGGAAACATTAAAATTGATCTCAGATTGGGTCAGCAGGACAACTGATCGCCAGATGGTAAGATTACTATATGTAAAAAGGATATTATCATGTCATATTTACGGCTATTTAATGTTTAAAAAGTTTTCAGTGTAGATATATAAATTGGTGTTTTTATTACACGTATTCAACAGGTTTTAGAAAGTTTTATTCCTCCGTTATTGGATGCTGTATTATTGGATTATCAAAAAACAAATGTTCCTTGTGCTCGAGAACCGGAGGTATTGAGTTGTATAGCCACGATCGTGAATAAACTAGAAGGTCACATTACCTGTGAGATCCCCAAAATATTTGATGCTGTGTTTGAATGTACTTTAGAAATGATCAATAAAGATTTTGAAGAATTTCCGGAACATAGAACAAATTTCTTTTTACTTTTACAGGTAATTATATGTATGATTATAACTTATGACTTGTAAATTGTGTTCTCCATGTAATATAGATTTGTAATGTTCACAATGTTTTTATATTTTAGGCAGTGAATGTTTCTTGCTTTTCTGCGTTTCTTATAATTCCGCCAGCACAATTTAAACTTGTACTTGATTCAATAATTTGGGCTTTCAAACATACAATGAGGAACGTTGCGGATACAGGATTACAAATACTGCATCAGCTTCTACAAAACATAGAAATCTCAACTGCCGATACACAAAATTTCTATCAGACATACTTCACGGATATTCTTCAACATATATTCAGTGTAGTCACAGACTCATCTCACATAGCAGGTAAATATCTATATAATTGGTTTCTATGTTATTATTGAATTTTATAATTTTCATGCAAAGGACTTATTTATTTCTGTTCATTGTTTAGGCCTTAATATGCATGCTACAATTTTGGCATACATGTTTTCACTTGTTGAACTCGGACGAATAAAAATTCCGTTGGGACCTGTACCAGATAATACATTGTACATTCAAGAATACGTTGCAAGATTGCTTAAAACAGCATTTCCACATTTGACCGATAATCAGATTAAAATAACTGTACAAGGTTTCTTCAATCTCAATCGAGATATCCCTGCATTCAAGGAACATCTTAGAGATTTCCTTGTGGAAATTAGGGTGAGTGTCAATGATTAATTTGACTGTTTATCGATCACTTTTACTATTTTCTACTAACATTCACATAATTAATATATTTGAATGAATATATTTTTTAAAGGAATATACTGGCGAAGATGATTCAGATCTATATCTCGAGGAAAGAGAAACCGCGTTAAGATTGGCACAAGAAGAAAAAAGGGTACAGCAAATGGCAGTACCAGGATTACTTAATCCTCACGAAATACCAGAAGAGATGCAGGACTGAGATGCAGTCATTTTCGTTACCTGCTTTCTGTACATCTCAATAAGAAACATTTTGTTACAGAGACTATTGTATCCTTTGATCTGCGACTTTTCCCACATGTACCACAGCCACCATCAAGATGGATAGACATTACATACTTTTTAAAGCCAAGTTTACGATATAACATTCTTGTTAAGGAGGTAAGCCTGAAACGTGGTGATTGTTTGTCTGTTATACAATTTTTAAAACATTAAAACTTCTGTTATGAGTAACAGGTGAATACATGCTGAACAATACTATTTTATGCAGTGAAGAATATAACATTTGTATATTAATATTTAGTACTCGTAACAAATACTTTTTTAATAAAGATGTTACCCAAAAGTCTTGTTTCATTAATAATAAAAATACATGTAATAAAATTGATTTATCTACTTGTAAACAAATTTATTCTTTAAAAAATTCCACCTTTTTTTAAGCTCTCATTACATGAAATCCTTATGTAAATCTTATAAATAATAATTACATAATTAAATGGTAATCTTATCATAATGAAAGGAAATGATGTTGTATATGTAATATTGGCGTGTATACTATACTCTAATATAGTTAAAACCGCTTTTTAAAATAAAGTATATTTGAAATGTGATGTCTGACTCGTATTAAACATAAAATAGTGTTGTTCCAGCAAATTTAGAGAATGTTACACATATATATATGTGTTTTTATCTGCATAAAGTTGTATGATAATGCTATTAATATTGCTATATATAGATATATAGATAGATACATAGTATATAAATATATATGATCTACAAGTCATACAGAGAAATTTTGTAAATTAAATTACATGTCACATATAGAATTTGTTTAAATTTCACTTTTCTAATAATCCCTATACATTCATTAACGATAAACGTGTTCAGGATAAATCAATCTATATTTCTGTTGTATTTTTAGCTACTATAAGTAAATGGAAAAAAATATATATATAT